TCACCACTAATAAAAATATAATAAGATTTTATTTTTAAGTATTAAATTTTTTATGAGGCTTTTTCTTCATTATTTAAAAAAATTCAAAATAATTTAAATTTAGAAATAAAAAAACTGCAAATATATAAAATACATATAATATTACTACTACTACTACTTCTAAAAATAATAATAAATTATTATTTTTGTTATTACTGTTATTATTTTTTTTTTAAATAAACATTTGAGGAATGTAATTCTTTATAATGGCTTTTTCTTCATTATTATAAAAATAACAAAATGAAATTAAATTCACAAATGTAAATAAAAATGTGCATCACAGACCAGGTGTATTCAAGTTACTGTATTTATGAAGTGCATGTTATTGTATTTTTAATAAATTAATAGATCTGGACAAAAATGAGTTTGATGTCATTAACCAAGGTACTGCAATTTACATCACAAAACCACCACCGATTTAATCTGGAACATGGCATCGTTCAGCATGCCAGGTCACAGAGTGAAAAACCTCAAAGAGTAAACAGCTGAGCCTCATACCTCAGGTAGCAGGTATTTCCTCAGTAGATTAACAACAACAGCTCCCGATGGGAGAGCCTCATTGGGATCGCTGCATAATTCTGTGGAGCCGATGCGAAAATCCAGCTTCATCTTCTCCATTCCATTGAAGATGAAGAGGACATCCTTAGCCTTGTCATAATCTCCACTAAGATAAGGTGTCTTGCGAAGGTGCATGTATTTCCTGCCCACGAGGTCTCGAAGGGATGTTGGTTTGGATAAATGGGAAAGATCCTCACAGGAGAAAGGCAACACAAGTTTGAACTGGGAGAAAACAGATCCAGCACACCAATCCAGCACTAGTTTACGGACGACAGTACTTTTCCCTGTGCCGACAGCCCCATACAGCAAAACATTTAGTCCTCGTGCCTTGTTTCCATTATTGTTAGCATCAAAGAGCTGCTCAACTGTGAGAGAGGGACGTGTGGATATGCTTGTCTTTTCCTTGAAGGGACTAAGACCTCTGTCCTCATCTGGATGACGCTCCAGGATAAGTGGCTGCACATGCATAGTTTCGGGAGAAAAGTAGCCACCGAACTGCCTCTCCTCTTGAGGAAGGTGACTGAACCATAATGTCAGCTTCTGTTTGTGGATCTCAATGGGATCTGCGGGTTAATTATAATACAAGCATAAAAGATATTGCTTTTATGAGCTGAATGGGCTAATGGAGTGATATACCATCTAAATGTAAATAATTAATGAATAAACTCACCTGTGACGGGTTCATAGGTACAAAAGAATCTAGGATTGAATCCAGAGATGGAATAGCACATAGATGTTCTCAATTCTCTCCATGTATTTCTATAAGAGCTTGTTGTCTTGCTGATGAGACAAAACGCAAGTAATATCAAAACATATTCAATGAAAACAATAGACATAGATGCTGCATCAGGAAATGCTGGATTTCTAAGAATTATTACACTTACGCTGGAAATGAGAAGTGATGCCGATTTACACCACCACCACAGATGCCATCTGATCGGAGGCTTAAGTTAAAGGCTGAAATAAACAATTGTTATTTCTGTAATTATACAAATCAAAAAAACTAATTTTCAGTATGATTTAAAAAAAAGAAATTATTCAGCAAGGACTAAAATAATAAAGAAATATTAAGCTGCCCAACTGTTTTCAACATTGCTAATAATAAGAAACATTTCTTAATCAGCAAATTAGCATATTAGAATGATTTCTTAAAGATCATGTGACACTGAAAACTGGAGTAATGATTCCTGAAAATTCAGCTTTGCCATCACAGGAATAAATTACATTTTAAAATATATTACAATAGGAAAGTTATTTTAAATTGTAATAATATTTTACAATATTACTGTTCGTACTGTATTTTGGATTAACGGATATTTTAAATGTTTTAAAAATATCAAACACCTACTTTTCTTAAGAGCCCTGGTGTGAAGTTTGCAGCAGACGTCTCTTGGTGAACCTTGGCATCTCCATCTTAACACTTCTGTTCCCGATGGCCTCCCAAATCGCCACATTTTGACTTTAAAATAACCCCTAATGGATGATATGTTTTGTCATAGTGACTTAAAAGGTTAAACAGGTCTAAAAAAAAAATTGTGTTGAACAGGTAAACAGTCAACAGTCTACAGTCAACACAGGAATGTAAATGTAGCTGACAAAATCAAGCCAAACCTTGTAAGGTCCCTCCTTCGGCTTTGTGTTTCAATGACACATGATGCCTATACGGTTACGTGATACACATATTTGTTTAACAACACACCCAAAATGTTAATTTTGGTAATGTCCATTATCTAAAGAAACCGCATAATGCATCACTAAGTGTGACCAATGTGGCATTTAAAATACCTCCTCCAGACAGTGATATATACAGTGTATATATATATATATATATATATATATATAAACAATTATTTAAATATGCAAGATTGCTTGAGATTCATCAGTTAATACTAGTAATGAAAGATCAGTAAGGTCAAGTAATTCGTCCTTGTCTGTGTGTTTACACAACAGAAAATGTTTTCCCTCTGACAACTGTGATGATGACTATGAGCAAGGCACTATGAAGGTGTGACCTGTCACCACACCTGTACCTAAACCAACACTGGAAACTCATTTTCATTAAGTAATTTACAACATAATTCATCCAGCGACCAGTTTAGACCAGTGGCTGTCAAAAATATGAAGTCAGTTGAATGTTGTACATCTTTATTTTTAATGTTTTTAAAGCATTTAAATGTAAATTATATTAATATAACTACATTTAAATAATTTTAAGATTTATTGGGGCCCCTTTTTAAAGTCACAACTTAAAGAAAAGTAATAGCATAAAGTGCTATGAACACAACTGTAGCCCTTTGTATATTACAAAGTATATGCTTTTCCACGTACTGTAAACAACCACTACGTCAACCATTGAGCAGTATGGCTGCCACTCACTAAAAATAGTACAGTAAGTCTAAAACTCCTTACAATTTCATTTGTTTTTATTTTGTTTTGTTTTTCATCTGACTTGTATAGCTCTGCCTCGCAATTTCTTTGTCTATAAAAATGTCCATCTCCACATGCAATTTTAAGGTCAAACTGTTTGTCTGTAAATGTAAACAGTATGCGTCGGGGCATGTGCCTGTCATGTATGCTCAATCGTAAATGAAAGATTTAATATACGGTAGTTCGATTCTGGAATTCGACGCAGACTCAGATCTTGTTTGTTGTCAGACGGGTCATCATGATGTACGTTTCATTTCAATATTTATAAACCACCGTTAGGTGACAATCAGAGCAACATAGCGACTACTTTTATTCACATGAGAATCCAGATGTAACGATTAAGATGCTGGTAATTATTGTAGATCTTTACCTAATCTAGAGGCTCTATATACGGTGAATTCTTCATTGATTTTCCCAAGTCTCTGCCAGCGTTCTGACACTTGCTTCACAGCCGAGGAAAGCGTCCATTCTACGGCAGGACGAGGAGAGCGTACCGCTCTGTCTTCCTGCCAAGTCAGTCGTAGTACCGCCCACATACACAAATTTCAACTTTCAACTTTGCTCTTCATTTTTACGACGCTGTTGCGAAAGTCAAATGACTAAATAAAAGCCATAAAATAGATAGGCCTATAGTGAAGTCACATATGCTTATTTAGCATTATGATTTATTTGCATACCGACTAAGTTATCCCACCAGCAGCTTTAAATCTACAAATGACCAGCTTTCTTCGGGATACTGCTTGGGTTTGAAATCTGACACTGCCACCAGTTAATGTATTCAGACAGCAAAATCATACTGCCTTTCACAATTTTATAGGCCCACCCAAGCATTGATTTATTTTACACAATAGTACACAATGTCTGATACAAGCCGTTTTACTTTGGACAACCCTGATCAAATTGACACACCTACAATTTTCAGTATCAAGTCCAACAAGTTCTATATATGGGCCTGTATAGGGGTTCCTCGAGGATGATGAAATGCCACTGTAAGCTCTTTGTAGCTCCAAGGGATTCTGAGTAATTCAAAATAATTCTTAGAAAGACTCTTCCATGAAGCTTTTACAGGTGGGGCTGCTTTAGTTTCTTTTGCACATGCTATTCTTCAGGTTTAGTTCAGTGAGTCAGAGTTAGTCAATGTTTAAAAAAACGACAACAACACCATTTCGTCTGAAAGGCACTGCCAAATGGCTTTGTTATTATTTATTGTAAGGGGTCAAATAAATGATAATAAAGCATTTATTATTCCTCTATGTCCTCATATGAACCACTATGAATTCTACACTCAGTAAGATTGTTTTGAAATTGCAACTGCACTTCTGATGGATTTCATAATTTTATTTCTAAACACACTAGGTACATTTGCCAGTATAACATGTTTACACAATACATTGCTGATATACATAGTATGAAAGTTTGTTGGTCTAAAAAATTATAATTTTGTTTTAATACATAGATTTTAGCACCAGGTAGATACAAGTGAAAATACTAAATAATCATAAAAGAAAGAAAACTAATAAAATCTACTATACAAAAGACTGATACAATGGTTTAATAGAAACACAGGCACTGTGTGAACCTTCACAGTCTTCTGGTTTGAATTAAAACCCTTTTCGGACTTGTGCAATGATATGTAAACATCCTCATCTCAGGCTAAACATGTTCATGATGTGCTTTCTGAAACTGGAAATGCAAAAAACTTAATTCTAATCAGCTCTGAGTAAAATTTTTAAAAAAAAAATCAATGTTAGTGGAAGCTTAAAGCCAGAGTTAAACGAGTTTGAGAACTGCCATAATGAATAGAGAAAGATCAGTAAATTATCATTTGCATATTTAAATTTGGTATGACATCTTGAATTTGGATATAGCAGCCTTGCATAACACCAATATTTTTCCAACACCTGGCACTGCATCATTTTAACACTGAAAAACGTGAAAATATTTATTCAATTTTTTAAAGCCAATTCTGTAGACAGTGACATTTAATTAATTTATTCGAAATGAAAAACAAAAACCAGAACACGAAAATTATGAACAAATAAATCTGACCTTCCTGAGCAGATAATGACACCTTTGGAAATTATAGTGTATATGTGTAGCCTGAAAACAGGCCACAAGAGCTGCAGACCATTCAAGGCCATGACTTGAATATTATCGTTCTGACTTTATTTTGTACCGAAGAACCAAGTAGGTGGCGAGTCGCAGGATGAGGAAGAAAATCCCCAATACGATGAAGTCCATGTAAAGTTTGGCATCTTCTACATCTAATAACTGCAGTACTTCTTCAGGTCTTTGGAACTTGCAAACCCTCCCTGGACATTCAAGCTCGGTTCGATTCATTCCATAAATGGACAAAATCACCCCCTCAAACCCATACCTGTCAGAAACACAATCAAACAAACATGAAATGTGATATTTGCCTAGTAAAAGTATATATTAAGATATAAATAGCATACCGGACATAGGACACGTAGGAACTCCATTGCAGGTATTCTGGAATGGTGTCAAAGTTCACAAAGAACCCCGAGAATAGTAGCACCGGAATGGCTGTAACCGGACCGACAAAAGTGGCTACCTGTGAAGAAAGATTTTACATTATTGTCGTTAATGTTTTAGTCGCAGTCTGGAGCTCTTCTAATAGCTGTAACATATACCTGAAGGGATGTGGAGGCAGCACCGACTAGAAGTCCAAGAGACTGGGCTACTAAAGCTGTGCAGATCGACAAAGCCAAAAACAGCAAGTAGCGGCTTGCCTCTGGAGGCTGTTTAGTCATCCAGTATACAATACTGCAGTACATGATAGGACAAAGGACCTGAGGAAGAGTGGACAAAGAGTGTATATCAAATATAGGAATTATAGAAGTCCTTGGTTTTCTTTGTCTTAGATCCATTATATTAAACCTTCAACATTGTCCAAATATGCTCAGCTCATATCATGCATAAAATGGAGTCAGTAAGGCTTAGGCAGGCAGGCACCCACCTGGAATGGAATGTCAGCCATTGTCTTAGCCAGATAGTAAGCCTTCAAGCTGTACCAGTAGTTTAGATGTTCCCTCAGAAACACAGCCATCTCTAGGGGAACTGAAAGAGTACAGAGAATCTATGACTCTAAAAACCACTTTCACTTCCTCTGAATGAAAGTAGGACATGACTTTAGACCCAAAATTGTGTTATATGTGTTGACAGTAAAACTGTGACATGACTGCTGCATTCATGCCTCTTCACTAACTTACAGGTAAGAACTGTAGGCATCAGCGCGCCAAACATGAGAAAGAGCATTGAGAAGAAGAGGAAACCAGTGTTGTTGAAGACTTTGCTGGCGTCATTGCCAATATTGAGGTACAGCAGGCCTATCAGCACTCCAATGGAGATGTGTGACATTAGCCGCAGATGTGTCAAAACCTAGAGCAAAAAACAAGAACCATTTCAAACGCCATATTAAACTAATATGCACTGGCCTTGGCTTAAAATATACAGCTGTGAAGGAGACCCAGAAGGAATGAAATGATGAGTGGCATGATCTGAAGATTTCCAAAAAGATTTGCACATGCACATACCTTATCAAACATCTCGAACAGTTTGGCACTGGGCTGGTGAATAGTGCAAATGATAGTTCGCCCTCCTTGTGCCAGAGACTTCATCAATGACACTACCTGGAAACAGGATGCGCTATCCAAACCACTGAAAAAAATAGACAGTATCTGTTAATGCTACAAGCATCTAAATAATGCTGATTTATTTGTGTCACAATACGATGACATCATTACCTGGTGGGCTCATCAAAAAACATGACTGGGGGGTTGTTTACTAGCTCAAGGGCAATAGCCAACCGCTTACACTGGCCCCCAGAGAGACACACAGTTCGAGTGTGGACACACTCATACAGTCCCAGGGCTGTCAGAATTTCTTTTATCTGCATGTCAACATAAACACACAGAAAAGAGGGAATTGTTCACCAGAGGGAAACATTTGGGGCAAGTCTGAATGAGGTGATGAGCTTTACCTACCAGCTCTTTTTTCACCTCTGTGTCTTCATTGAGCTTCAGGTTGGCTGATACCTAGAAAACAGTGCAGAAATCATTGAGCTGAGTTCAGTGTGTTCCTTGTTAGAAATTACTTTTTTTCTGCAGGTGACTAAAAGGGATTGTTATATTGGGCATTAGCACCAAACCTGCAGTAGGGGGCGTCCTTTACTACATCATTCACCTACAGACTCACCATCATTGCTTCTTGAACAGTCAAGTGGGGCAGCAATTTGTCCTCTTGCATAATGTAACAGGACATTTTACGAAAGGTTCGGAGGTCTCTGAGCTTTCCATTTACCAGGATCTGTCCAGTCATTCCTGTTTCCCTGTAACACACAAGACAGCCAGCAGTTTTGGGAAGATTACCCTATTTAAAACGTAATAAGTAGTGTAACTATTTCAATTACTTTTATAAAGTAATGTAACTGATTACATTTGATTCCTTTTCTAAATTTCTAATGTTTTCAACTGTTGATCATTTTGAAACAGGCAGGGCTAATCTTACAGTAGGACTCAACATTGATTACTGTCAGTTTTTCAAAATACTTCATCACTTGAATTAAGATTATAATAATTTAATTTTAAAGCATAGCCACCACAAAATCAGACTTTAGTGCATCTGCTTACTTTGAGATCATTCTGAGGTTAAATACAGATTTAAAATCATAACAATAAATAGTTTAACATCTATGATACTGCTTTTTGAAATCAAATCTTGGCTATGACAGGAAACACTGGCATATAACAATGCCTTGCAAAACAAAAAGGTTAATCTTAAAAAATAAAGCCTATACATAAACCCAAATAGGAAATAAAACAGTTGAATTGAATAAGCATGTGTCCTAATCTGTGTCCTAAACTCCTGAAACGTTAGTGTTACATATTTTAGAGCAGTCAATGTAATTTATGAAAGCAATCAGTTAAATCTGTGTGTGGGTGTGTGTGAAAAAAATTCAAATGTAACCCCCTTTGTAATTGTTAACATTTTCATAGGTAACTGTAATTTAATTATACATTTTTTTCTCAGTAACTGTAACTGATTACAGGTACATTTTTGTAATTAAATTACGTAACACTGTTACATGTAACTAGTTACTCCCCAACACTGACAACCAGCAATAGATAGGTATGGAAGCTTTCAAGATTTAATTTATTTTTAAATTTAATTTAAATAAAATTTTAAATGTAATAAATGTATTAATGAGCAATTTGTTAATTCATAATCAAGTTTACCAATGATACAAACAACTGGAATGAAAAATATAGCATGCTTTCTTACTATTTTTGTTCAGATCATATTTGCACCTACTGTATCCTCACCTGTATCCCGCCAGGATGTTCATCAAAGTGGATTTTCCAGCCCCAGAGGGGCCCATAATGCCAATGAGTTCCCGACTGCAAAACTTCCCCGATAGACACTTGAGTAGGGCCTTATAACCTGGAAGAAAAAAATATATGCTTGGCGTCCTACGGTTCTCCTTTGGAACAAACGGTCCACTTGCAGTTAATCCCTTCAAATAAGAAGTATGGTTTAATCCGTGAACCTCATGACTGTACTACATATTTCTCCAAAGCTAAGAAATGTGAGAAAGCGAGTGATAAAGGTGATGAAAGAATTAGGCTCCAAAACCTTTAAGTACAGTGGCTAATTAAGCCATTCTGGACAAGTCTGCTCATTGACCTTTCTACGAGTCCACCATGATGGATTTCGCCCACCACATAAGACAGAAAGATCTCATTAAAAAAAGTTATGACATTTTTAGGAGTCACTGATATAGTATTTCTAAAAAAAAAAAGAAAAAAAAAAGTCTGACTTACAGTATTTCAAAGCAAGGTGCCCTAATTATCAGCCTATTAGTCCAAAAGCTCTGTTCTCACAGTCAAATCGCAGGAAAGCCCTCTCCTTTACCCTTTGACTTTATTCCCATACATGTCCACTGAATGTTTAGAAGCCATTTAATGACCGCCATATTATCATCATTGGTGGCGCTTTTCCTTTAGTGCCACAATGGAAACATTGGGAGTGCTAATTACATTTATCATTTCATTTCCATTTCCATTTATCATATTTACAAATATATTCTATTCTGATCATCATAGTGCATAAGATTAATCAGCATAAAAAGGCACAAGCATTAGGATGATATCAGCAGCCAATTTCGAATTGAAAATGTTGTTCTCACCAGTGATGTTAGATGGGATCTCATCTAATTTAAACTACTTGTAGTGATGGCACTGCAAAAATAAAAGTCCTGTTGGCATTTGAAGGCTGTAAAAGAGTAGAATCTTCCACACTGGTATGTTTTGACCAATAAATCACAAGAGTAAAGAACCATCTGCTATCTTCAGGCCAGACAGTGCATGACTAGACAGTGCATGAGTCAGCTTAATCAGATAAAAACAGAAGTGATCAGTATGAGATACCAGCATTCATGACGTTACCTGCAAATCAATAGATCCAAAGGTCTGATAGGAAAGCAAAAAGGCCTCCATTAGTCTTGGTACTCGTTCTAATGTGATTTTAATGTCCTCTGAATGCTAAGCTGCTAAATTAAAATTGCTTACCGTATTCCACTTTGTACATGAACAAAAGTTGCTACTCTGAGCATGCATCTAGCCAAGATCTATTTTAATATCCTATTTGACTTGTACAGCTAAGAGATAAATAGTCTATTATTAAACACAGTATCCATCATTTAGGCTCCATTTTATTTCTAAGATTGGATTTCTCTGCTACTCTGGTCTGGTCTAAAGTTGGGATGCATTCATTTGTGCACAATTATTCATGGAGGACCTCTTGAGTTGTCCATTTTTCTCAATTTGTATCTTTTCCCTTCATTCTGTCTTGTTTCCTGCTCCACTTTATCTCTCCCTTGAGTTTTGACAGCTGCATTATTGATAAACCATTTGTCTCTTTTCTTTAAAGTTTTTGTAAAAACTTGCAAACAATTATATTTTTATGAAAATGGGTTTAAATTCCCTCATAACTAACAATAATCTGTTTTTATCTATATTGTATAATTTATCATTTTTTTATCAAATAAATATTTTTAATATTTTAATTCATTTATGCCTTTTATAAAAAAAAAGAACATTTTATAAATTATATTATATGCTTGCTTTAGTCACTATCTAATAAAACAGACTGTATGCCTTCTTCCTTTATTTATTTCTTATGATGTCTTATGATTATGATAATGTCTTATAAAGACCCCATCCGTAAGGTCTGTTTCAAATGAATGAGGTCAAAACTACAAGTCATGCACTATTTAGGACCGATGAGTTAAATGAGTTTGACATTATTTATGGTTACCTTAATCAAAATGTGTAAAATATGATCTCCTGACCTTGTTTCTTCCACCACGGCCCTTCTCTGATGGTGTAGGACAGGTCTCTGAACTCCAGGTCCACAGCAGTGCGTTTGGGCAGGTGAGAGAAGCGCTGTGCCTCTGTGATGTGGTTCTCTACCTTTTTCAGATGGGTTAGCAGTGGAGCTTCCTGTGGCTGTGTTCCTCCATTACACAGGCTGTCCTCCATAGTAATACTAACTGACCCAAGATCCGATGCCTTCACTGCCATTCCAAAGGTCTTAAAAGAGAGCAAAAATCACTAAGTGCTGTGATCATATCGGTCAAAAGTTTTTTTTTAATGGTATTAAAATATGTCTCTTATTCTCCCCAAGGCTGCATTTATTTGATCAGAAATACAGTAAAAACAGTAATATTATGAAATATTATTACAATAAAAAAAAACTGTTTTCTATTTTAAAACAATTTATTCCTGTAATGCAAAGTTGAATTTTCAACAGCCATTACTGCAGTGTTCTCAATAAAAATGTATCAGAAGAAAAGTACAGAACACTCTGATCCATGTGATAAACTGCATAGTTACATTTTTACATCTAATATCACTGTCTTCTATTAAAGAAATGCTATGAGTCATCATATTGTACATCACTATTCAAGATGAGAAATCTCCAATGGGAGCGTCTTCCTATACTTTCCCCTTGAAATGCAAACCTCTTTACACTGTCTGCTAATTCAGGAGAGGCCCCTACTCAGGAGAGGCCCCTACTCTGTCAAATTGATCTGGGTTAGAATTTGGAGCTCTTCTAAAAGACTGGGATTTGGTTTCCTCCGAGAGACCGCTTTGTGCTGACACATTGAATTGACTAGCTAGATGTAAGTCCCTGGAGTTTGGAGCCAAAAGGAAGAGCGAAATCAGAGAATGTGAGTAGCCAGGTCAGAGACAGACATCACTGGCTCAGTCCCACAGAGAACACTAGCTAGGAGGGGATCGCTCCAGTGTTCACATGAGAATTAGTAGATTGTGCTGTGTGGAGACTGTACAATGGAAATCTTGTTGGAATGTATTATAACCAGTGAAACATAATAAGAATTTTTCATAGACATATGGGTTGAACAAATTATCACCACTCCTCTGATTTTTGCCCACTGTTTGGTGAGACACTGTGCATGTTAATATACAAATGTTACATAACACACATCCATAAACATGTGACAAACAGTTTGTTTTAGAAAACGAGGATTGTTGAAATAGTATTTAGTGTGTATTCATTAACCCTTTAAATGGTAAATATATTTGAGAAAAGTAAGTGAGAAGGCTTAATTTCTGAAGAAAAAAAAACAATGATAAAAGATATATGAAATTGTATTAAAGAAAAGAAACATGAAATTGTATTATATGAGCCCTAAAGTATTAGAAAACAGCAAAATTATTTTGTGCCCGCCCTTTTAAGGGTTAATAACCTTTAACAGGCCAACACAAAGAATCAAGAGATTTGGCTTTGTAGTCTTTATGCTGTGTTTGTAGGCTAATCCACAAGAATTAGTAGTTTTATCTCTCTTAATACCATGCGCATATATTTACAGACCACATACATATTTAAAAATATAAATGTATGATATGATATTACAATATTACTTGTATTAAATAATTATTAAATAATAAAGAAAACCTAGTTGAGGTTACTAACAAACTTCTTAAGATGCTAGTATAAAAATATGGCATAGCATAATATAGCATAGTATAGTAATATGGTTAAAATATAAGATAAAAGAATAATACTTTAAAAATATAAAATATATTTTTAGACGTTATGCTGTTGTTATAAATCAGTCAGTCACAGATGATAAAACAAGTATGGTTAAATTATGCTAATGCTGACAATGAACTGCAAATCCTGGAAATTCTTGAAATCACTTACCCAGGTTCACACTTGAGAGGAAATATATTCGTTAAAGTGTTGAAATGTAGGTCACTTTTCTCTTCACAACAGGTAACAGAAACAGGTCGTGCGCCACTGGTAATCCCGTACAGAACTGAATGAAAAACTGAGTCCTGAAGGAGAGTTTCGTGGCGAGGTGTCACGCAAAACCTGGGATGGATGGAAGTGAAGCCAGATCATCGATGATGCCCCAAAGAAGACATGCACGCTCAACGAGCGGTCCCATGGAAACCAAAATAAAATTGATTTTATTCATCTAATTTTTATATTTATTGCATGATAGTGTTATTTATTTATTTTTATTTACAATTTATTAAGTGTTTCAAATTATGTTTTACATATTTAAAAAAAATCAATACAAAAATGTGAGTGCCGCACAAACACGTGTTTTTGAAATGCATGTTTGTTTATTAAAGCAGGTATGAGATTATAGACTTCTGTGGACAGTGTAGTATGTAATTTCCTGTGAAAATGAGTGGATGCGATGGCAACATGCTACAACTGGTTGCCAGAAGAAGCCACACGCTAATAAAGCGAGTTCACACTCAGAATAAGAACACGTCTTCTGGACGAGTCTAAACTTGACAACTTGACAACCTTCACTGTCTAAATGGTGCCTGAAAAAATGGATATATATATATATATATATATATATATATGAAACATCAATCTTGAAAAGTATGCATCTATAATAAATAAATTTGATAATAAATCTTTGAAAATATTTTTTTTATGTTAAGAGTTCAGAGCAGGGTTGCCAGGTCCAAGAAAAAAAATATATATAAATACAGTCTATATTATAATCTCATACCTGTTTTGATCAAATTGAAAGCTAGCCCAAATTTCCCCCGTCCAATCACAGTTTACAGGTGCCTTATTCCCATAATATACCTTAAAATATACATTTTTATATTCTTTATTCTGTTTTAAATCTTATTTTTACTGATGTATGTGCGTATTTATTTAATCTGTGTTTTATTCCTCTTCAGTCACAGAATCTTCCCCAATTCTTTCAGCACATTTTTATACAATAATTGAAAAACAAGAACATATCCTCTCTGATATATCTCAATCAAGACCATTATTAAGTCTACATACTCATTTCTCTTTGCTTAACTCTTCTTCACATTAACTCTCTACACACAAGCAGAATCAATAATCAAGTAATGTACAATGCTAAACTCAATTAACCTGCCTTATCTGATAATGTAATAATGATTTACTTTATTTATTATCCCCAATACCCTCAACCATCACATGTAAGGTCTTGAGTGAAGTTTTTTTTTTTTTTTTTTTTTTTATAATAATAATAAAAAATAGTGACACCCAGTGGTGTCTCACTGTGTAAGGCAGTTTGTATAATAGAGAGAAAAAAAAGTCAAAAGCACATGATTGCATCTATACTGCTTGATTTATTTGGGACTGGAAAATACAGTACATAAAACCAAACAACTCTGCTTAAAACCTCCAAACTTTCAAAATGTGCTGTTTTATGTAAATGTAGATGCCTTATTTCAAAGTAATGACAAACAATGTCAATGCTATCAAGTTACTTAGAGTTTATAAGTACATCACTGACTCTGAAATGGCCATAGAATTCTATCATTTCAGTACATTCTAAGAATCTTGCATATACTCACATTGATTCAATATGGAATGAGTTAAACTATGGATAAACCAACCAAAAAATCTGTGATTCAGAATACCACAACAAAAGTATACGGGCTAAGTTTTATCATGTTTCATCATACAATTGCAGGCACAAGAGGAAGTCCAGAAAATACATTTAGCCAAATAAATAAAGCAAGGACTTGTATGAATTTGAGTGGAGTGAATGAAAAGGCTCAGGTAGTGCTTACAAACTCCATACAAATGTAATCTTCATCAAACTAGAGCTAATACACAAAGACATTTACAGAGGTGATATTTTGAATTTCCAGGCACAAATGTTAGATTCAATTTAAAGGGTTCAATGACTACATTTAACAAATGCATAAAATATATTAGTGGCAAATATCTGAGATGGAATGAAAATCATTCCACTATCAAACCTTTCATCTATGGAAAAAAACAGCTGACTCAATCATACAAAAACGTTTTGTAGTGGTTCACAGGTTATGCTGTACACCTATATAACCAGAGTCAGTGAAGGTATAATGTAGATGATACTTCAAGCAGCTTCAGAAAATGTACACCCCAGAATAATTAAAGTTTCAAATAAGCATGTGTTTAGATACAACACACACCATCTTAAAAGGCATGACTGCGTGTTCATGGCTTAATATGAGAGCAAAAATAATTTCGATCTATTAGCTCTCTGTAATGCAGACGTTGTTCATGTTTGCCAGTGTCTCTGTTATACTTCTGTGAACAGTGGAGTCATTATTTTGGCATTATTATTATGCATCATACTGCAAGTCTGTTTTAAGTAGTAACTGCATATTGACTTTCATTAAACTGCTGTAAATACAAAGAAACATTTTCTGTGAAAAACTAACCAATATCTTAATAACACAAAATATAAAGGCCACTGGATGACATAACACTTGTTGACACTGAAATTTATTAAAAAAAATACTTCTGGAAGGGGGTGGTTGGTCTTCAGCTACAGATAAGGACTGTTATATACTTATCGTGCATCATTCAGCTGTCTGGCTACAGTCAGTATCTCTTTGGCCCCTTTGCTGAGCAGCAGATTTCCGAGGTCCACTCCTAACTTCTCTGCAGCGTCCTGGGCTGCTTCTGACACCTTTAAAGCAGTGATGCCCACACGCTGGGCCTTCTCGTCAACTTTCTCCTGCTCCTCAACCTGGTGATAATAAGGTTACAGATGCTCAAATCAGTGTAAAATTCAAAGAAGGATTCAGAATATTGGAATTTTTATTTATATGGTTATGGATTAACAACCTGATTGTCAGAGCTGATGCTTGTCTGCATGGTCTCCTTCAGACTGTCTGAACCATCGAGACTGTACACCGCTCCAGTCAGGTAGAGCTGTAAAACGATCACACAGTTATTCAGATCGGTCTTTCAGCTTTTCTAGTTAGGTAGACAGTAAAACAGCATGAAGCTCTTCACTACCTGTGAATTCTTAACTTCAGTGTAAACAGCAACTGGAACACTGCATCCCCCTTCCTATTAAAAAAAAGGGTTTAAAACAAATGTATTCTTTGCATTCTTGTTGGTTTTAAAACATGTAAAACATGTTCATTTGGCAGAAAAGGTTCTATTTAATGACTTAATGTAATTTGTATTGTAATTAAATGTAAATTGTAATTTATTGTCACTGTACCTTAAAATGTATTTAAACAGTTTTAAAATTATTATTAAATATTTACACTACCATTTAAAGGTTTGGGTTTAGTAAGTAATGTAATTTAAGTCCTGAAAAAAATCATCACAGATTAAGCAGCGCAACTGTTTTCACCATTGTGATTCACCATTCAAATGTTTCTTGTGACTGCAAAATGATCCTGCAGTTTGATTGATATTACTTGGAATGCGCAATAAAAAAAACGTTATTGGTTTTTGCAAATGAACCCTTCATTTATACTTGTAAATAATTTATATTATATATTTTATATATAAATCTAACATAATTTACCTTAATATATACACATGATATACATAATAAATATACACAGTACACACACATATAGTATGTAAACTTAAACTTTTATTCTGAATGCAATTAATAGTAATTGATCATTTTGCAGCCTCAGCATTTTAGAACAATTTCTGAAGGATCATGTGACACTGAAGAATGGAATAATGATGCTGAAAATTCAGCTTTGCCATCACAGGAATAAATTACATTTTAAAATATAATAAAATAAAAAAACATTTATTTTAAAATGTAATAATATTTCACAATATTACTGTTTTAACTATTTTTTTTATCAAACAAATGCAGCCTTGGTTAGCATAAGAGAACTTCTTTCAAAAACGTTACAAATCTTACCGACCCCAAACTGTTGAAAGACAGTGTATTATTTTATTAATTATGAATTAATTCAAATATAAAAAAAAAAAAATAGCATCACATCACTGATCCAAAAACAGGTGTGAGGAGTATTATAGTGCAGCAGGATGCCTACCAGGTGTTTGAGGAAGGCTCTCTCTGAGATGCATCTCAACACGGTGTCCGAGTCATTTAATACTGACACCATTTCCAGGATGTCCTGGTCTCGAGCTCTCACCTCGACTGCCAGAGCGCCCTTTAACAAGACAGTAAGAGCAGCATGTAAGGTTCAATGTGATGGAACAAATGCACTCACTGCTGTGCAGGAGATCAGGACTAAAGAAACACTGAATGTTACCCACCTGTCCAACTGCATACATGCAGTCATCAGGCCCAAGGATCTGAAGCAAGATGATAACACCCCAGGTCAATATGCATTATAGAATTGCTTATCGATTAAATGATGCAATAATCTTTGTTGTATTTGCATGTTAGGTTAATTAAAGTAGGATAGAGGCACCTGGCTGATGCGATTCTCCCAGCCCATTCTCTGAAGACCAGCTGCTGCTAAAATGATGGCTGAAAAGTCATCTTTTTCATCCAGTTTCTTTAGACGAGTGTTGAGATTACCTCTCTGAAACACAACTGTTAAGGTGTAACCTCACGGAAAACATCAAGTGCTTGTTAATACACTGAAATTATAATATACTTGTTATCTGCATCTACATACAATAACAGGAAACGTTTTTTTTTTTTAATGCTGCACTGCACTGAAAGATACAATGTCTTTAAACTCCAGATGAGGAAATTTCTTCTTTAGTTGTGCGGCCCGGCGAAGAGAACTGGTACCTACAACACTTCAATCATAAAATATATAATTTATTATTCAAGAAAACACATATCCTGCAACTAAAAATATAAAATGTATCATTACCATTAAAAATGTGGGGGTTGATAAGATTTTTAAATATTTTTCAATGAAGTCTTTCATGCTTAGCAAGACTGCATTTATTAGAACAAAAAAAAGTAACCATAGTAATATTGTGAAATATTATTACAATTTCTAATAACTGTTTTCTATAAGAATATATTTTAGAATGTAATTTATTCCTGTGATGCAAAGCTATATTTTCAGCAGCCATTACTCAGAAATCATTCTAATATGCTGATTTGCTGCTCAAAAATCATTCCTTATTAATATCAATGTTGATTTTTTTTTGATAAACAGAAAGCTCAAAAGAACAGCATTTATTTGAAATAGAAATCTTTTGTAACATTATTAATGTTAACTATCACTTTTGATCAATTTATTAATGCATCTTTGCTGAATGAAACTATCAATTTCTTAAAACTTCTAACTTTTAAATGCTAGTGTACTTTAATATATATATTTCAAATGTACTGGCCACCGCTTTTACCTCTTGTTGGCTAGAGAGTCTAGACATTTGCCTTTATGTTTGGGGTGCAAGACAACAGCATCATGGGGGTTTTCTCGCCTTTGAAGAGAAGGAATCACAATGTTGACCATACATTTAAAAGGATTTGCAATGAGCAATACCCTATATCAGTTTTTCCATACACTTCAATAATTATTTATTAACTTTTAGGTTGACGTTTGTCTGTAACGTGACATGTCAGCTACTTTTAAGATAAAAGACTCTTCAGATGTGGAGGAACATATAAGCACTTCAGAACACAGAGGCACTATTGTGATATTCCTTACTTCAGCACAGATCCTATAGTGAAGCCCACAGGAAGAACAGTTGGCAAGTCTTTCAAAGAGTGCACAACCAGGTCCACCCTATAGAGACACAAATATTACAACAGCATTATTCATACTGAAACATAAGCACCAGTGTAGCAGCACAAACCCCTGAAACATCAAATGCACCAAAGGACCAAACAACCAGTGAACAAATCTGTGCATAGTGCAAAGTATGCATGAATGATATCAAGAAGTAATGAAGGATGGACTAACTCATTTTTTTCCAAAGCATTTTCCAGTTCCTTTGTGAAGAGACTCTTTTCACCAATCTTTAACACACACACACACACACATATATAAACATTTACAAAATGAATTAATTATCACATCAATATCACTTAATTAAATAATCAATTATTTTACTTCTGGATTTAGACTTACTTTGGATAAAGCTGTGTCAAGTATTTTATCTCCTGTTGTTGACATAGCCACTGAAACAAAATAAAAAGATTGAGGTGGAAATCAATTTAAGGAGAGTGAATATTAACTATATCATACATGCTAAACTCAGTTACAAATAAACAACAACTGTTTTGCATATTTGCCAATGATCTCTTACCTATTTCAAAATGAACATCAGGGTGTAACTCCTTGAGTTTCTCTACAACACTGTCAGTCTGAATTCGAGCCAGCTGAAAAGGGGAAAAAAGTAACAAAAAGGTTCAACAATATTTCATTTTCCACAAAATATGAAGGTCTTTTAAGGCTAATCTTCTTGTTGAGGGCTGTAACTGGTTTCTTTACTTAAACTAAGCAATATTGTACCCACCCTAACAAAGACAAATCTTATCAAAGCCACACTGGCACACCCAATCAAACTTACAAACCTACATTTGCCTACGCAACACTTGTACTACTAAGTGATGATGAAGCAAAATACAGTATATAGACATTATTTATAACATAGAAAGTAAAAGTAAAAACTTATTTTAGAAAACTTGAGAACATAATTAAGACACATTGGTACTTTAAACACATCATGGATTATTCCAATGACAAGCAGTCATAAAAACTGAAACGTGTACATTTAAATTTCTCCAATTTATCAGGTGATGAAAATGGTTAGATATTTTAGCAATATTTTAGATGATATCATTTGCATGTACGCTAAAGTTTAAAAGTTTGGGATCAGTAATTTTTTTCAAGAAATAAATACTTTAATTCAGCAAGGAGCTTTTAAATTGATCAAAAGTATCAATAAAGACATTTATAATACAACAGATTTATATTTCAAATAAATGGTTTTATTTCAATTTAATTTTTTAAAAATTGTATTATTGTCAATTTGTGATGAATGATGTGATGAATAGAATGATTTCTGAAAGATCGTGTGACAATGAAGACTGGAAATATATAAATATATTAAAATATATAACAAATACTTTTTTTCACAGAGCATTTGAAATAAATATATATGAAATAAAAAATAGACCATGTACAATAAATAATTTACCTGGCTTTTTCTGGTGCCAACACGGATCACCCTGCTGACTTTGCCATCAGCATCCTGTAAAAGAAGAAAAATCAAATCAGCAAAAATCAGTACCAACACAAATATCACAGACTATCATGTTAAATTTGGATTATGTTCTGACCCTAATGTATTTATAAGGCCCATCTGCCATTGTAGGGAAATTAGCTGGAGTCTTCAGAGGAAGAGAAAGCAATGTATAGAGAATCTGAAGCAGGACAGAATGATGAAGGAGGCACTACGCCCCAGTGTCCTGGCTTCAGTAGATAAGACAATAATGCCTATTCACTGTGTCCGTTACACACAAGGGAGGAGTAAAGAACACCATTCATCTTCATATAGAGAGATTTCATATTCGAGAATATTACGTTACACTAAAACTTTTTGAGTAAAGACGGTTCAGAAGTAACTTCTTTTTAACCACTAGACCTAAACCAAAATAACATTAGTAATTATACCATAATCGCATAACTAACGGAGCTGCACTGTATGGTTTACGAGTGATGTAAAATAAAAATGGTTAAATTAGAGTTAAATTTGGTTTTGATTAAAGTTACTCTCTCAAAATTACTTCTCCAGTTTTGAGTAACGTTAGCGAATGAATGAAAACATACCTGTAAGTTTGTCTTTTCCGACATTTTGTAAGATGATCCAAGTTATTTAGTGCTGATCTCGTTGAAATTAATGTAATTTCTCATTAATGATTGTAAAAGAGAAAATACTGCAATGGGACAAATGTCATTCACGACTGTTACCGGTCGAGCGTGACTTCCGTAAAGTGCGGCATTTTGAATTTCAAAATAAAAGTCACTGTGAATGTACCGTCACAGCGATTACAGCGGACTAGAAAATAAACTACTTTTATTCTAAAGACGTAGTTTTGCAGAAACGGAAGTTAACACAGTAAAGGGTATCACAGGTATCGTTTGTGATCTTACTTCATTCACTCACTTTATATATCAGAAATTACAGTTAATGAATGAGCACAATGGCGGAGTATGACTTATTTCACAAACAGACTATGTCTATAATGACGCTTTTGATAGAAACAGTCCTAGACGAGATTCAGAAAGTTTTTGAATGTGAATGTCGCCCATCTCACACTGAAATTAGTAACGTTAGTGACAGAGATCCGATATTGGACATGAATGAGAAACAACGCAGACTGGTACGTTTATTTTCATTCTGCAGCTATTTTGTTGTGTTTCTGTTCCTTAAGTTTTTCCTCTGTAGTCTTTAATTTCTAGGTTAGGACACGTTATGTTTAATCAAGACTTTTTCTGTGTTTAACAATACAATAAGTAATTCCATTTCCTTCTTCAAATGAAATGTTGAGCTTCATCCTGCTAGTTAAAAACTAAACATTTATGCAAAACTGAACATTTATGAAGAAGCCCGGATGAATTAATCAATAGTTATTATCTGTTGCAGGCAAAGCTCACAGCTGTGATGGAGACCTTTACCAAGGTGGCTGTTCAAAAAATATGCAGAGTCTTCAGTTATTGCTTTGCTCTTAAGCCAACTCAGTTGCAGGGTTTTAAAAGTTACCATGATGATGTAATAAATGTAAAAGAGTTGCTGAAGGAGCATGTGAAGAAACCAGAAAGAAAAAACAGTCAAGCTGTCAGAGATGTGCCTGGTAAGACATCCTGCATATATTTTATTGTCATATGTAAGCACATTCAATCTTCTGTAATCTTAGAAATGTCATTGTCCTCTCAGATTCCGCAACTGTAGCTCCATTGGTGTCTCTGGAGAGACCGAAACTGCTCACTGCGTTACCTGAAGAAACTGTTCAACCACAAGATTCGGTTAAAGGCCAGGAGGTGAGTTCGTTATTGAAAAGATTCAACTCTGTGTTGTTTGCTAAAATGCTTGCATCAATGTTCGTACTGATTACATTTTTTTCCTCTCAGTGTGCAAAGGAGGGTCATGTTTCAGAATTTTGTCCTGAGTCGTCAAGTAGTGGACAAGAGAAGAACCCAGTGCAAGCATTTTTTATAGGTATGTGCTGCACAGCTTTGATATTTGTGTGTACTATCTATATAAAAAGTTTATACATTGATTAAAAATTTATTTATTTGTTTGTTTGTTTGTTTATTCATTAATCAATCATTCATTTAAACTTTACATCAGTATGTTTGGCATTATTAAATAGTAACATATTAGACTCTAGGCCATTGGTTTCCTTCATTCTTATGCATTTATTTGATCAAAAATACAGTAAAACAGTATTATTAATGTCACACAATCTTTCAGAATCATTCTAATGTGCTGATTTGCTGCTCAAGAAACATTTCTTATCAATGTTGAAAACAGTTGTGCTGCTTAATACTTTTGAGGAAAGCATGAATAATTGTTCAGGGTTCTTTGATGGATCAAAAATTCAAATGAACAGCATTTATTTGAAATAGAAATCTTTTGTAATATTATAAATGTCTTTACTGTGACTTTTGATCAGTGTATTGTGTCCTTGCTGAATTTTCTAAATTATCATTAGGCTTTTTAAACCAGCTAGACATACATGTAGCTTTCAATAATTGGAACCCTGTTAATGTTTTGCAGTTGAATACAGTACCATCGCCTCTGTTGAGGACCAGCAAGCTGAAGTAAACACACAAGCAGAACAAATAAGGACAAAATCTGAAAAAAGCAAGAAGACAAAACCATACGACTGTAAAGAGTGCGGAAAGAAATATTTCTATAGACGCTCACTAGATCAGCACAAATGTGGACATTTAAAAGGGCCTCACAGTTGTGAGCAGTGCGGGAAGAAGTTTAAATACTTAAAAGGATTAAGAAAACACCTACTGAATCACACAGAGAAGAAAGGGATCTGTAAAACATGTGGGAAAGCCTTCGCGAATCTTAAGATGCACAAACGTGTCCACCTGGAAGTCAAGCCGTTTCTGTGTTCCACATGTGGACGCAGCTTCACCGTAAAGGGAAGTTTACTGGCACACCAGAGGATCCATACAGGTGAAAAACCGTACAGTTGTGAGATCTGCGGGAAGCACTTTACACACTCAAGCAACCTCGCCTGCCATCTGCTCACTCATTCCAATGACAGACCGTGGAAATGCAGCCTCTGTGACAAGACTTTCAAAACTGAAAAGAAAATGAATATGCACCAGCTCGTGCATACAGGAGAGAAACCCCATATATGTAACAAATGTGGGCAGAAGTTTGGCCACATCACAAATCTCAGAAGGCATCTCCTCGTGCACAGCGGTGTGAAACGCCACGTCTGTGAAATCTGTTCCAAGCAGTTTTATCAGAGCAAGTCTCTGAAGAGGCATATGGGAATACATGGAGCTCTGAAGTCATTTATGTGTGAAATATGTGGGAAGAGCTTTGTTTTTAACTATGCCCTCCAGAAACACTTACTCGCACATAGTGATAAAGCCAATCTGAATGGCAAATCTAAAGATGGGAAGTCTTTCCCGTGTGATGAATGCGGAAAGTGCTACAGTTCGACCGCAATGCTCAGAATACATCAGAGACTTCATACGGAAAAGGATCCGTACATGTGTAAAGTCTGTGGCAAAAGCTATAGCAGCTTGTATTCGCTGAAGGAACATGAGAAGCTTCATTCGGGGGTGACACCGTTCAAGTGTGACATCTGTGATAAAACCTTTACTCAGAAAGTTGGTTTGAAAATGCACGAGGTTGTTCATACCAAAGCTAAACCGTACAGATGTTCTGTTTGCGGAAGCCAGTTCGGGCTTCCCTACAGTCTGAGACTGCACATGCGCATTCACTCCGGCGAAAAGCCACACAAGTGCGCAACGTGCGGAATGTGCTTTCGCTTATCTGGAAACTTAAGGCGACACGAGCGGATCCACACCGGCGAGAGGCCGTTCAGCTGTGAGGTGTGTGGGAAAAAGTTCGTGCAACTCAGCCATGTGAAGGAGCATATGCAAATCCACACTGGCGTCAAACCCTACACGTGCCAGAAGTGCGGGAAGAAATATGCATACCGTAGAAATTACAATGATCACAAATGTATACCTGTGTGAAAAAGATGCTGCCTTAAAGCATGCTGGGAACTAACTTGCATTTTCTTTGTTATATTTGCAGTTTTTTTCAGATAGATGTCATGAAGGTTCCGTTGTCTTTAAGACAAAAATATTTACAATAGCACAGTGTTTACATTTGGCTTGAAAAGCTGTATTAATCAAATTTTCATTAATTCATTTAATAATTGAGCCTGGGCCAAATTATTTTTAAGCCAATTATTAATATGCAAAATCAATAGTTATACAGTGGGAATTCCTCAGTACAGTGTACTCTATGTTCAAGAATAAACAGTTTGCTGAGAATGCAGTGATTTTTCTTTTATTGTTATTTTATGTTTTATTTGTAATTTTGGTAGGAAAAACACAAAAGTCTTCACTATTCCTGTGGATAATATCTAAATTACTCTTTAATTAATTAATTTAAGAGCAGATTAAACCGTTAAATGCTCAAATGGTCAAAAGTTTGACTTTTCCGATGCAGTTTGATATAGAAATTATTAAAAAGTCTATACAAAGTTCTCCAGCTGTTTGTCTTTGGCGTTAAATGACTTTTATTTTGAAAACGTTGCATCGGAAGTGTACGCGAACTGACCATGTTATGGACGGTCGGGTCTATTTACCTAAAACAGTCAATAGGAGTTTCTCAACATTTGCAATTCAAAGTAAATTTTGCATAACACAAAAACAATAAACAAGCTTACTTAACAAATTAGCCAGAAAGGGCTCTGGTTATTATAAATAATAAACTATAGTATTATCTATAATAAGTTTTATTTAGTTTGTTTATCTGTTTCTACAGGGAACATTTTTTATTCATATTAAATTAAAAAGGATTAATGGTCAATGGCGCATATTCGCATACTTTTATTTTGAAATGGTTCTGAACTAAAGAGGAAGTGTTTAGCGCAGAGTGCAACTTTTCTAGTGAGTTTGCATACCTGACGTATAATTACAATATAATGACTTGGCTTCATATTGAGAATTTGTTATTCACGATCTATTATGACTATTAAGATCATGTGATTGCATGTATTCAAATTGGTTTTAAGTTTTTTTTAGGCGTTGGACTGCCAATGCAGAAGGTTTTTCTTCTAAATCTTGCTGAAATATTATTTTGAAATAATATTCGAGCACAGTTTCTCATTTTTGCACTACTCGTAGCTGTGGTCACTATGTCCAGGTATGAGCTTTTTCGGAGTCAAACTGCTCTGTTGATCTTATTAATGCCGGACACGCCAAAGACATGCAGCTCTGTTGAAACTCATCTCAACATGAAACAAAAGGACACTCAGACTCAGGTAAGAGTTTGTGTTATTAAAATTGTTTGTAACTTGAATGGTTTGCAGGTGGCTAGCTTGTATCCTGCCTCCTCAGTCATTTAAAAAAAAAAAAGATAGATTGATAGACGGATAGATTTTTCTATTAAATTAATGACAACAATATGCTTATATTCATTGATAGCAAATTGGTCGTACAGTATGAAGTGCTGGTATGGTATATAATATGCATTTGAAACTTTTAGTACTATTTGTCTAGTGTTTACATGTAAAACATTTCCATGTGATGTGAATTACAGGATGCACAGGAGAGTCATGCAAACAGATGTCCTTTAGTGGAGGACAGAGCAGAAGAAGACATTCAGACTGTAGTCATCGGTGATGGTAAGGTAAAGTTGTCATACTCGCATTATCATTTATGTTATTAATTTTATAAATAAGTACAGCTGCTGGTTGTTGGGTGGGAAACCCTTTTTTTCCCTTTTTTCCCCATTTCCCCATTAAGATTTTTCACCCTGCTTTTTCCACCCCCGTATTTTAGCTTTTATGTCATATATATGCTAGTTTTTCCCTACAAATTCACCTAATTCATGCATTTAGAATTCTTAAAACAGTCATCAGAATTTCATTCATTCTTACATTTTAGCCAAATAAGTAATATCTGCCTGTGAATAAAAGTCAAAAAGGTTGGAACCACTCAAATATACTTAAGGCTATTTGATATTTAAAACAAAAATATAGGAAAAAAGCCCTTTGATATATTCTAGTTTCAATAGGAAATATATAGTAACAAAAGGCATTTTATATGATCTTTGAAACACTTCTGTCATGAGGAATCTTTAATAGCTTATATGTTCAACACTAATTTGTATTATTGTGTTGTTTTTTCACCAGCTGATGACAAAGCTGATGAAGATCAGGAAGGCGTGTTGCAAACGTCAACCGAGCGACCTGAAAAGCCACAAGAAGACGAGTCTTTTGAATGTGAGCAGTGTGGAAAGGCCTTTCCAAAGATGTTTTCTCTTCTTCGACACAAACGTGTGCATTCGGTCATAAAGCAGCACTGTTGTGAAAAGTGTGGGAAGAAGTTCTCACAAGTAAGAGCGCTAGAGACTCATCTCCGCAAACATACGCAGAAGTTTGAGAAGAAGAAATTTCCCTGCGCTACTTGCGGAAAGAGCTTCAAAGACCTCGCAGCGCACGAACGGGTCCATGCGGAAGTCAGGCCATTTACCTGTGATATATGCGGACAGGGATTCACAGTCAAAGGCAGCTTATATATGCACCAAAGGGTGCACACGGGCGAAAAACCATACACATGTGACACCTGTGGGAAAAGTTTCTCTCTAATAGGCACCCTAAACTGCCACAAGAAGTTTCATTCAGATGACAGGCCAATAAAATGCAGCCACTGCAATAAGAGCTTCAAGTGCAAGAGTCATTTGAGACGCCATCTTCCTGTGCACACCGGTGAGAGACGATATACGTGTCAAATCTGTGGTAAAACATTTGCGCATCATGAAGCGATGACACGCCACATTCTCATTCACACCGGCGAAAAGCCGTACATCTGTGAAGTGTGCGGTAAAAGATTTCGTCAGAGAAGCAATTTAAAAGTCCATATGCGGGTGCACCAAGAGCCACAATTTAAGTGTGAAATGTGTGGGAAAACATTCCAGCATGGTTCTTTGCTACAGAACCATATTTTATCACACAGTCATACTGGAAATTCAAAAGAAGACCAATTTTTGAACTCCAAAACTCAACTGCAGCTGCATTCAGACAGCAGCAAACCTTTTACATGCAAATTATGCGAGAAGAGCTACAGCAACATATATAATCTTCGCATACACGAGAAGCTTCACACAGGCGAGACCCCGTTCAAGTGTGAGATCTGCGGTAAGGCCTTCGCTCTCAGAAAGTCTTTTAAAACGCACATGTTGTGCCATTCAGGAGATAGACCTTATAAATGCATAGCATGTGGGAAAGCGTTCAAGTGGTCTGGCTCTCTGAAAATGCATATGAAGACCCATACTGATGAAAAAACTCACAAATGTGAGACGTGTGGGAAGGGTTTTCGCTTGTATGGAAATTTAAAGCGACACAAGCGTGTCCATGCTGGGGAGAAGCCGTTCAGCTGTAAGGTGTGTGAGGAAGGGTTGCCAGAACTCGACCATCTCAAAACACATATGCAAATCCATACTGGAGTGAAACCCTACACGTGCCAGAAGTGTGGGAAGAAATATGGATATCTTAGACATTACAATGAACACAAATGCAAACCTGTATGAATTAGATGTCGTCGTAGTAACTTGTAACAACTGCAGGATTTTACATATTGTAATATTTCCTAGACAAATGTTTGGGTAACATTGTGAAGGCATTTAAATAAAACATTAGGCTGAACAAGCTGTTGTTATTTTTAATGTTGCATAATGTGAACCTATATAAAAAAAAATTATTTATATTATCATGATGCATTCATGTAGTAAAAATTGTGTTGTAGTAAAAAATATGTTGGCATGGTTATGGAAAACCTGGAAATATGAGGGAATTTATAATGTGTTAATTGTGTTTTCCATGCCTGAGAAAGTAATTGAAAATAGTCAAATATGGACACTTTAGTGAATTTAAAGTGAATTTAAATGTTTCTAGTTGTGCTCTGATATGAATGATTTAATCAGCTGGTTACTGCCCTTGTATGCTTGCGAATCAATTTTTCGACTTGTGTTTTTCAATGAATATTCAAACTTGTTTACAAAATGATCTGAATGATTCATTAGTGAATGTATCCGATGTAAAATATATATTTTTAAAAGTGTTAAAAAAAAAAAAATCCTTATCCAGTCATCAGAAATGACAGAAAAACTTATTATCAAAAGCATTCACGACTGTTATTAAGAATGATATCTGGCTTCTCTTAAATCAGAATCAGAAGAGCTTTATTACCAAGTATGTTTACACACACACACACACACAAGGGTTATGGAAAACCTGGAAATATGAGGGAATTTATAATGTGTTAATTGTGTTTTCCATGCCTGAGAAAGTAATTGAAAATAGTCAAATATGGACACTTTAGTGAATTTAAAGTGAATTTAAATGTTTCTAGTTGTGCTCTGATATGAATGATTTAATCAGCTGGTTACTGCCCTTGTATGCTTGCGAATCAATTTTTCGACTTGTGTTTTTCAATGAATATTCAAACTTGTTTACAAAATGATCTGAATGATTCATTAGTGAATGTATCCGATGTAAAATATATATTTTTAAAAGTGTTAAAAAAAAAAAAATCCTTATCCAGTCATCAGAAATGACAGAAAAACTTATTATCAAAAGCATTCACGACTGTTATTAAGAATGATATCTGGCTTCTCTTAAATCAGAATCAGAAGAGCTTTATTACCAAGTATGTTTACACACACACACACACACAAGGAATTTGACTTGACGACAGGAGCTTCCAGTGCAGAAGAAAGTACGTATAAATAAAATAATGAAATATATAAATAAACTCACAACACTTGTTGTTAAACCACTGACCTTAAGCATGCTAATTAAAACGTAATTAGGAATTTTATTATTAGTTTTCTAATTAGTTAGGCTGGAGTCTTTTTCCTTTGAGAGCGTTCAATGACTTTTATTTTGAAAACCTGTTTCGGAAGTACATTTGTTCCCGTCACTGAGGTCTATAATGGGTCTTAGCAAAAACATGTTATGATCAAATTGATCCAGAACAGTCTAATGCCCTCAACAATTTAGCACTGAATTTTAAACTCCTTAAGTTTTGTTTGTTAGTCATAAGCAATATCAATGGCGAATGCCGAGCATTCAGATACTTTTATTTTAAAATAAAACAAAGAGGAAGTACTTACTGTTCAGTGCAACTTTATTGGGAGTTCAACGTTTTGTTTATTTTCTTCTCACTCTGGCCGTACAAACTGTCAAACACAGGTTGAGTTGATTTTGCTGCATTTCTCTTCACTGTGGTCACTATGGCCCGGTTTGAGGTTTTTCAGAGTCAAACCACCCTGGTCGTGTCTTTACTGACGGACTCTGCTAAACACGAGATACGAAAGACTTTTACATGCAGCTCCGATGAATCCAGTCTCTCCATCAAACCAAACGATACTCAGATTCAGATGGTAAGAAAGTCTGTTATTAAGTGATTTTAACGTGGTTGGTTGTAACATGTTAGTTATTGAAATTAATTAAGTTCTAGTATTATTTTTTGTTCTTAATTAGAGCATTTCTTTTATCAATGCAGCTTAATTCCATAATGGACAGGTTTGCCAAAGAAGTGGTGCAGAAGATTTGCAGTCTCTTCAGATACTGTTCATCTGTTGCACCAGTTCCAGCTCAGATATGTTTGAATGGTCGAGACGAGCTGAGGAAGACTTCATCTCAGATGGGTCGTGATCTCAGTGGAGCAACCCATATCCATAACCAAGAGTTTCAGGGTACTTGACAGATTCTCCACATGAGTTACAAGCCTGAAGTATTTTAGTATTTGTGGTGATGTTTGTTTTGTGTTCCTCATACAGCAGATGCTATAACTCTCTCTGTGAGTCCTCTGAAGGATCCTGCAACAACGTCTCACCAGCAACCTTCAAGCACTGAAGTGAGTTATAATACAATGCAGTTTTAAAGAAGAATTTCTTTTAAAGATATAACTTACAGTGTGATAAATGTTGGTTGAAACCCTTACATGTGATGGAAATTATAGCCTGCACAGGAAAGTAATGCAAGCAGATGTTTTATGGTGGAGGACAGAGCAGAAGAAACCATCCAGACAATATTCATCAGTGACGGTAAGAGTCTCAACTTTTAGTTTGAAATTTCTCACCCTCTTTACCTTTTACAATCTATCACTGTCTCAAAATGTAGAACATCTAAATCATTATGACTGGTGTTAATTATATATTATCAAGACATGCATTACTATATATGTCAGTGTTGTTATTGTTTACTAAAGCTATCAAAAATCATTTTTTGATAACTGAAATAAAGCTAAAATAATATATATATATATATA